AATGATATTAATTTTTTTTCTAGGTTGGAAAAACTGGAGCTTACTTGCACTTTGCACGGCTACTGCACCGTATGCTAATCAAGCTGCAAAAAGTTGATGTTTATGATGAAATGCCATTTGTCCAGGAATCAACACCAGATACAAAGGAAACAACATTGAAAGCCGCACAACCAGCACACCTTGAATTCAAGGTCATCTCACAGTTGTCATTTAACTCTGAGTTGAAAGGACACCGCTTTGCTAAGAACAGTCCATTGATGTTATATTCCAGTAAAAAGGAAGCACAGACAGCAACAGTCAAAAAGACCAAGACCTCYCCTGACAGTACTCCTCATGTTACCTCAGTGTTATTATCATCTTGGGCTGCACATGATATATGTCATCATTGTGACAGCTGTAAACCTTACCGTGATGGCATAGGTCCGACTACGTCTTTGTACCACATTTACCAACTAGACTCTGGTGAAAGCCTTCATTTCCTAATCCCTCCAACACATGCTGGCAAGTTCACCTTCACTGATGACAAGAAACTTCAAAGTCTAAAGCTTCCCAAGGTGTTAGTTAAGGGATCTAATGGAGAGGTTGTTTCTTTGAAAAATGAAGGAGAGTTTAATAGTAAACCTGCCATAATGAGTCCAATTATGATACCCAGTACAGGAAGACATGAAACAGGTCAGTGGTAAAACGRAATCCTTACTTGAGATGTTTTAATTAAAAATGTCAAACTTTTAATTAATGAAAATTTTGATAAAAGCAAGAAAAGCAAGGAAAAATATACTTTAATTTGAAGCATTTATGACAACACAGGAAATCAAATTATGTTGGGCAGTTCTTGTAATAAATTCATGTAATTATTAAATGTTTCTGCATAAAATTCATTCATTTGGTATATTCATTGCAGGTCTGCTAAACCTCTACCATGCCCTTGAAGGAGAGAGCCATGTCCAACTGGTTTTTGTCAAGCATCAAGAGATGTCATTGTACAACAAAATGTGGCCAAACCATGTTATTGTTGGTCTTCCCAAGGAATGCGATAATGAAGGCATTGGTGCTGCAAGGTTCTTCATCAAGGTCAGTTATTTCATTGACATTTAAGTATTTTGTGTGTTTAATTAACAAGTTGTGCTTAAAACTGAGCATTTCATACATCAAAATTATGTACAAAAAGGTTGAGAAGAAAATTCATCCAAAGTTTAACAGAATTCTAGGTCCRCCATAGCAGCCTGTTCTCAATCCAGRATTTTAGTATATTAGGACGAATCTTTCTCTTGAGAAGGTTGATGATATTCATTACTGATCTGTTTCTTTTTACAGGAATTTGCCTCACAGAATTTCTTCAAAGAGCGTTTACGTCAAGATGTGAGTGGTAGCAGTGATCACGATATCTGGCCGATGATGCTTATGATGGATGATTCATGTGTACTTTGGCAAAATCTACTTGATGGGCCTAAAGTGTAAGTTACAAACATCATGACTAACTAATAGGTCTATTCTAACTTCAGGGAATTTTTGTTGTAAATAGYGGGATTTTGCCAAAACCTGTYTTTGTAAAACACAGGCTCGTTTAGCACATRCATTAACCCTATCTGTCATTAAAAAAATGTYAGTCACACACGGAATCTGTACAAGTGATTATGACACATCATGCCCACCCTTCATACATTTGATGCATTTAGAAATAATAATGATTTTTGTCTTTTTTAAAATGTTTGTGTTTTAGCGATGAYGCTGCCAACAAAGAAGGAACRTCCATACCATTCAATGCCAACTGCTCCCTTCTCAAGATCATGAAGACTATAGAATCAACACCTGACGTTACCAAATATGGTGCTATTGGCTTTGCTCATTTCAGCAGCAAAACCCAYCACATGACCAAGCCATCTTTCTCCAACACCCCCCTGGATACTGCTGTGGTGCTCAACCTCCTCATGCTCAAGTCACTTCAGTATAATCGTAACATGTACTCTTGTGAAGATGTAAACTTCAGCCTTGCCATGCACAGCCAGGGGATACCATCATTCAGGTTTGATTACATGACAGTTGCCAGGAAGTCCATTGAGTCAGGTGGTGAGATGACAGTMAAGCTGTTTGTCAACCCCAGTGATAACAGCAGTAATGACAACAGAACTGTTGACGTCAATGATTACAGAAATTACGTAACTGCACCAGACACTGAAGACACCCATTACTTCTCTTCACCAGCTCGTTACCTTCTTGAGAGATATCTTGCCGAAGGGGCTGCTTTAAAGCTGTTCAAGACTGCAGCCAATAGACCTGACCATCCTGTACTCACAGTCAACAACTACGTCAACCTGGGGCCTAAAGTYAGTGTTGAGTAYGTCAGCACTCACAACATGAAAGACAGAAAGCTAAGAACCAAGGGAATTGATAAGAACAAGACAAGATATGGAGGTCTGTTGCTGTACTTCTCTGATCCTGAAGTCACCAAAGAGCTTCTCCAACAGTTCCAGTTTTTAGATGATGCTCAGCTCTGTCTTGTTTGCCAAGATCGAAACACTCTCAGACAAGAAGTGGTTCGTCTTGACCTGGAGGAAAATTGGAGGTTCCGACTGAGAGATGAGCTCCAGACAGCTAATGACCCTGACGATCCATCATTGTTTATACTCACTGGAACGCATGAATAACTCCTGCATGTTTGATTGCCCTGCTATTGTTTATTTCTTCCTAAAGTCACAGAGAGAATGATAAGAACATAGAAGACGCAATGCTTGAACCATTCATCTTTATGTTGATCATTTTCAAAGTAACTTGATTTARAACATTTGTATTTCAGTCTATGATAATCCCATTTCCTAGAAGTATTTTATAGTCTGTGATCAGTTAGAGAAAATCCACAGTATTTCAGTTTAGTTATTTTTTTAATGATGTTCAAAACATTGATATTTATTTTAGAAAAACTGTTGGCAAATTCATCTTTTTCTTTCTGCTTTTCGTTTTTGTCTGWCAATATTYWATTYTGTGTAAACAAACTTTAAGTTCACTCTTSGTCCTTTCAAATTTTCATTGATATTGTTTGGAGACTATCAATATTGAATAGTGTTTTTGACAAGTGGAAAGTTACTTTCACATGCTTCATTTAAGTATTTTAAAACTACCCAAGTGTTTTCACTTGTAAATTAGACTTTAGTTACCCTGCTGATGTATCATTATTCACAGTTCATTGCATGGCTTTGCTTGTGAGCCTCTTCTGTTTTATCTATCCTTCATTGATCCATGATTAAGTTTCCTAGATAACTGTAAATAAGATTCATGATTTACCATTGTTTACAGAAAAGGAAATTACGTAATTATTGTATATTTTGTGACTTCACTCTCAATGTATGTGTAGACTGCAATGTAGGTTAAATCTCCCTTCTACAATAAGACTCCATCACAGTTTCCTATGCCATCTTGAAAGGTAGCCATGCTTTTGCATCAATATGACCAGCAAGCATGCAAATAATGTAAAAYACCTTTCACGAAATTACAGACAGCAATACAACACTCATGCAAAAGACATAGCTACCTTGGTCAACATGGCACTCAGRTAATTCCTGGTGACTGTGAAAAGGGTGTGTTATATGCCTTAATATTGATATATTTATAGTTTATGTAATGTAGCATTTCTCTACACAGATGAATTCCATAATAAAACAGATAATTAAAATTTTTAGTGTAAACTTTTTATTAATGGAGGTATCATTTAAATGAGAAATAATTGCAAGCAAATATATCCATCAAAGTGCATGCCTCTAACACATCCAGGAAATTCATAGTTTAGTGCCGTGGAAATGCCCTGCATGCAGGTTGCCAAAAAAGTATGTGTTGCTCCGTCTGCTTATTGCTACGAGATAAAACGTCACTCTGCATATTGAAAACTTCGTTGATGTTTGAGAAATGTGTCCTTCTGTTTATTTGAGGAAAATCAAATTAGATTAAATTGGTATTAATAGAAGATTTCCTATGTTTCCATTCTCTGTTAGAAACATGCAGGATTKTTCATCGAGAGAATTCAAGAAAAGGTTTGAAGGCTGAAAGGAGCAGTACRTGTGTCTCAGTGACCATCTCCAGTTTTCAAAATATTTTTATTTGTACAATAATTTGAAATGTTAAGACTATTTACAGATATTTTGTACAATTCTTTGACAATTTTAAATTTCCTATAAAAACTGCTACAGTATATGATTCTTCACCCAGGCACCCATCTTGAATTGTAGTTGTACAGAAATGATTGTTTTCCAGGTTGGTTTGGTCTGTAGGTTGCTAGAATTAAAGAAACGGTCATGTTATTTAACCATTACCAAATGCAATACACTTCCAGGAACATTTTGATCCCATGTCACACTTACCAGGTCCAGGAATGTCATCATTTGTACCAACATTCTGACCATCACCACCCATCCAACGACTGGTTGACGAAACAAAYACTGAACTGGACATAAAGTGCTTGGGTTGACCTTCATAGTCTACAATATTGTAATGACCAGGACCTGGAGTAGGGTCTGGTAACGGTAGTGGCATTGCTGGTGCCGAGATGCATAAATAATGTTTGTTTCTAGAAATAACAATATTCTGTACTAAGCATTTGACAAAAATGGTCTGTACTGGTCAACTGTATTGTTATTACATGTACATGACCAGTCCAGATAAAACATCATAGCTGAAATWAGCAATGAACWAATAMAAATATTTCTGTGCCAATTGCCAGTTTAGTTGACAATTTTGATGGAATTTTGTCTGGGCTGGTTGCATAGTCAAASAAAACTACTATCCCTTGTGATTCACTATATCAACTTCTGCACTGCTTTTTACTGAGCATGCACTAGTCAGTTTTTAATATTTAATCAGTATTTTCATTTTCAAAGCAAAACAAAAATAGATTCAAAGCACCACAACATTCCTGAGTCCTGTGGTTATGAGTGCTGCGGATAGTATGGAATTTAGTCCATGGAAGGTATTGGCATTGTTTTCTGATACAATCTTGTTCTCATTCTTATCATAAGTGCAACTAAAAGACAGCTGTACTAGAATCCTTGCCCTCTTCCATAAGGATCAGTCCCCATGCAGTGACATGCTGGTAGCAAGCAGTCAAGATGATAACCTCCTTTGGCAACTAGCAGCCCTTTTAGTGTGGTTTAACACATGATAAATCTAATGGGGGAAGCACATGTCAACAAGGCTACCGCTAATTCTGATTTCAAACTTACAAAAATCCTCTTGGTATTTTKGGATTCAAATCATTTTTTGCCGGATTGTATGATCCTGGTCCAGGGATTGGTAAGGGTGATCTCATCATTTTTCTTTCTACTGTAGATTTGAAGGGTGCTGAGACTGTCTTGGGCGAATCACTCACAAGTTTATCAYTGATGTTGTAGCGACCTGCAAGTAAGTAATTGCCAATATCAATAAATTAGTCTATCATTTACTGAATCTGTCCATCAATCAATCATTAATTCAATAAATCAATCGAATGAGCAAACAATCAATCATTACATAGCTAAACGCTTGTTATATCAAATCAATCAATTCAACAGTCAGTCAAACTGTCAATCCATCAATGACAATCAATCAATCCTTGAACCGTCCAATCAATAAATAAATCAGTGGAGAAGAATAAGCATTCAGCTAATCAGCTGCTCAGCAATCATGTTCATTTGGTCAAACTAAAATTAGATGGCCAGCAAAATCCTTAGTCTCTCTTAAAGCAGGTATTTCCAGAAAGCTTGACAAAACTGGAGGTACCAATTGTAGGGCAAAATTGTGTTTCTATTTCATGAAGCTTAAATTTCAGAGGCTTCTTGAACAAAGACTGAATAAAACACTTATCCTGCACATAAAATCCATGAAAAATACATTTCTTCGACCATTTCAGATGTACTTGACCCAGCTTTTGTCTGGTTAACTTACATGGTGAAGGTCCTTGGCTCATATTTTGAATATTAAGACTTCTCTTTGAGCTGTGAAATATGTGAAGATGTTTATATAACATGATTCACTATTAATATAATCCACTAGTCAAAATAGTTATTACAACTATATTCACCTTGATTTAAAGGCTGCAGAAGCTGCCACATTGTTGTCATGCACAACCCTTCCTGTCAATCTACCAATCTAATGGAAAAACAAAACCAATGAGTCACCGAAAACAGGCACTAAAAACTAGTCYRATGCAACAATTTTTACACACAAATCATCAGTTATTGTGACATAACTGARCTTAACGAATTGAAAAAATACTCACATTATATTGATTAGGTGCTGGTAAAGCATTTTTCTTGTCTTCTCTCTTGATAGCAATAGGAAGATGAAACACACTGAAAAGATATTATTATTCATTAGTATTTCACCCTATTAATCACTACCAAACCATTATTGCTGAATTGAAAAAGACTGTTTTTAGAGTGTTTCAGACTATCTGTGCTTACCTAGTCACACCAGACCTGTTAAAGTTGCTTCCTTTAGGTGAAAATGCCTCATACTCTCCTGAAATACAAAAGCAAGTGTTATATTTCATCATGCTTAAACATAAATCAATGGTTTCAATCATGACATAGTCAGAAGAGCTTTTCATTGTTGAAATCATAAAAAATACACTTGAATATACACAAGATTGATGTGATCAACTTGCATGACATAGAAATGATATAATATATATTATATTATATATTATGATGAACAGACAATATATTATGATAAGACTAGATTGATTGATTGATTAAAAGAACTAAATGGCTTGATAAATTGAATCTCACCAGGTCCAGGACCAGACTCCCCTTGTATTTGATGTCTTGGAAATCTTTTACACTGAGGCAGAAAATAAATATTTTTGCTGCTCATGTCCTTTTATAAAAGTCAGMAATTTTATACCAGACTACATGTACTTTTTTGCAAAGTCTATACCTTAGATGCAAACCCTCCAGTTCCCTTTTTGGAGAAAGATGAGCTTTCTGTTTCTGTGGTTGACATCTGACCATAYTGCCCTGGGCCTGGGTTGTAGTTCTGTAATTAAACGAAAAAATATCTAAGCTTAACTTAAATAGTGACTGGCAAAATTCGTGAGTAGCACAACGTATGATATAGAATTTCTTACCCCAAAATCGCCATCAAATCGTTTAGTCCGAGAAAGAAATCCCTTCCTTTCTGAGTTATTAGTTACTATGGTTTGRTACTTGCTAGGTATTGATGCTGAAGCGGCAGTTTTACCATGACCTTACCAAGTAAAAACAAGAGAGTGTTAACATTTTATGGSTGTTCATTTTACTACCTTTATTACAGCCGTTATTTAATGTGCGAGATTTTAAAACACGGAAAAACATTCAATGATTGATTTACTCGTCATTTAGTGGTACCTTTGTGAAGTTTACCCGCGTTMATTCCTCCACCAACTGGTCTTTTTGCAGTGTGTTCAACACGAACACTGTCCGCCATCTTTGTTTGGCAGCAACGTGATCGTCATGGCAACCAACTAAGATTTTTAGAACACAGGTAACCCAATTTTATTATCTGACGTTGCATTAGAAAACTTTGAATTACAAAATCTAAAGAAATACTTACATTAGTAATTTTAAAATACAAAAAAGAATACAATTTTTGACAACAACGCAAGAACATGCGAAAGTCCCCTTATATGTCGTCCACAAGGAAGTTCATTATATTTTATCAGTACTTCTGATTCTAAATAGCGCTTGTATATTAGCGAGCATTTTAAAAGTCAGCGTTTTCAAACCCAAAGGTAGTACTGAATTCTTCAGTTTTTATCAGTTTGATAAACGAGCAGTGAGGGATTGCAGTCTCTTATTACAGTATCCGTTGTGTTCGAAACCCCATGTGTTTGGTACCTCGCCCACGTTTACAGTACTGCATACTGCACATCGCGGAAACCTGATATTTAATGTCTTTAATTGCTTCCTTAGTACTTCTTAGTTCTGTAGTTGTTAGATTATAAGTTATGCCTCATTTTTGGAAGACAATCTATTTTTCTGTCCATTGTTTTCTCAACCAATCATGACATCCTTTCCAATCGGTACAGATTGTCCCCAGGCTTAAACACAAATTTTCAACTCTATTGTATTGTCTATTATGGTCCGTCTGTTGGGTTGTGAAAAACACTGGAAAAAATCGCGCGCCATAAAGGTTGTAAATTTGATGGAAATATGATGTAAGTGTCCAAAATGATGTAAATTGGATGGAAATGATTTACATCAAATTCACATCATGTTGGACACTTACATCATATATACATCAAATTTACAACCTTTAAAGCGCGCGATTTTTTCCAGTGAAAAATGATTACAATAATTATTTATTACAAATGGATTGAAATCATTTTCGGATGTTAGGCACTTTTCGTCCAAGTAGTGGATTTTACTGATGATCTTTTAGAAGTTAATTTTATATATTTCAAATATTATAAAAAGGTTTAGATTTTGAGGTTATGGACTTGCATAGTTTCAATTTAATTCATTTGAGCGTTAGTTTAAAACTAGTTGGATTATAATCCCGAAAATCCTGATTACAACCTTTTAAAAAGTGCCGGCGTTTTTTCCAATGACTAGATTGTTGTGTTGTAAAAAAATCCTTACCAAAGCCAGTTTTATGCATGAAAAATCCATATTGTAAAAATACATGTTTTTATTCTACTAGAAACTTCCTACGGTGATTTTAGGAAGAGTCTTAAAACTGAAGATTCATCAGTAGGTAGTGTAGGCGTTGAATTCTCTCAAATCTATCGATCACTTGACAATGAGAAGAACTCTTTAATAGCGAAACAAATTGCAAAAACAACAGTTTGTGTGGGTGATGGGACAWGTGAGGACAATTGCAGATCCGGAGAACGCTCGTAAATCTCACTCAATAGAGAGAGGGCTTAACAGAAGCAATCCACAACCTTGATCAAAGCCGTATTTCACATCGTCAGGTAAGGTTCAAWTTTTTTTCGCGCTAACTTAAATTCAGTATATCGAGACAAATTAATAGGAAATTGGTTTTTGAGCCATTTAGTACTAAACTATACAATACTGCGCACGGTACTAGACTAGGACAAAGTATGTTGTTGCTCGTCATAGGGCTTCATTCGTGGATCATAAAAAGACGATCTTTTTCATGTTTCTCGGCTAAGTAAAAAAAACACCAATAAACTCACATTCTGCCAGTTTAGAACATGAGGAAATATTATTTATTCAATAGGTACGGATAATTATCCAAGTTCCATACAGATAACAYTCAAAAAATGAATTTGTTCTTTCTCATGATGATTTCTTCTTTCTGTTTATATTGTTGTAGTATATTTACACAAGATGTTGAAATAATTATCCCGCATTACATGGGATGATAAATCAACGAAATTCTTATTCAACGTCAACGAAATTGTTAACCAAAACCACAACCTTCAGGTACAAAAAACTAACTTTATTTAGAATAAAAAAGAAGTAAAAAATTAATGAAAGCTTTGAAAAACGCTTTGTGAATACTTATTTATTTCGATAAAGCTATTAATCATTTCTCGGAAAGAGTCAAAATTCAACTGATTTTCCGCTTGATCTTTTATCATTTTACAGTGATAGAAAAGAAATTCGAGAAACTAAAAGAAGAGAAATAAAAATTATAACAAAAAACTGATGTAATCCTACCGTCTTTCCGCATTAGTCGGTCGCCACAGAAACTTGTCTCTACTTCCCCAAAAAACCCAAACTTATCGATGGTTCAGACAATCGTCCAAAATAATAATTACAGCAATCTTAAARCAAAATATCATTAGTATATATGCTTGTTAATAGCATAATCTTTACAGAGAGGATAGAAGCCACAAAAATATTTCAATTATTCATTGTTTCATAGAAAGTCCTCTCAAAGACGCGCTTCCATTACTTAAAAATAAAACTTGATGAGATAAAAATCTAATATTTTTTTCAAAAATCATCATTATAATCATTGCTRYACTCAGTTTTTYTCACGAATGGACTGTTTTGTGAAATATTACAGTTTTTGCATATTTTTCGCGTATTTTCCCGCCAGAAGTCAGTAGCCACGTGTCGCGTGCCCACACGAAGAAAACAGATTTTCTTTACAAACYAATCAAAATTTATACCACTCTGCTACACAGATACGGGGAATCCTCTCATAAATTAACATAATTATTTTTTCCAGCTTTCTGATTGGCTGACACCTTAAATGATCATCGGGAAAGAGTCCAAATTTACATGACTGAAATTGAAAGGACGCTAAGGGGTTTCGGCAGATGTGATGAACTAGTGATCGTAAAATCGGTTATCTTTCTAATACTTGAATAATATCTTTTAGAGCTCATTCGTTGGTCTACGATTAACTACCTAAAAAAGCCGCGAAAACAGAGGGTAACGCGAAATTCAACAAGTGATTTTTGATGAAGCTCATTTGAATCCCAGAAAGCGAATCTGTTCTGGTAAGTCAGTCATTCTTACTCCTATGGGCCAGTCTCTAGAGCTACGAACTGAACAACCATGTTATTGAATCCTGTTTGTTAGAATTACGTATACGTTCTATTTATGCCTTAACATCAGCTGTGTATTTTTATTATTCTTTTAGATAAAAATAGAAATTGYGGCGCGGAGTTTAAAGGGCTGCTGAAGAGTCCACAGTTGTCATAWCGCCTGATCAAGTGTTCCTATTATTGATGGTCTGGAAAGGTGAAACATTAGAGTGATTTATGTRAGGCAACAGGTGCACCAAAATTTGAAAATGAATCAAAMCCAAGAAAAAAGCAAACAGAAAGTCACCRCCGGTCCCCASCAGTCCAAAAGACCGAGAAAAACTAGGACTCGCTCGTCCCGCAACAAGCGGGATAACCACTCACGGTTCGGGATTCGCTATTTACATCATCATATGTTTGAGGACGGCGGTTCTGAATCTAAACAACCATGCCCTTCTGTAGAATGTAAATGTGGCACAAGTATGGCCGCCGTATATAGCGGTAAAACACTGGTCGCTCTCACATTATCAGTTCTCGTTCTACTGATCGGAGTGACTTTTATGCTTGTTGGATACATAATTCCACGACGGTCTGTTGTATATATCGAAAGAGGAGACGGAACAAGAAGACCATTGGATTCTACAGCTATCACCTTTAATACCATGCTAGATGATTTTACTTTGGTAGGAACTATTCTTATTTCTGTCGGAGCTTTGTTATTTTGTGTGGTGCTACTAGTCCCAATCTGTAGAGCTTCAAATCGAAAAGGGGAATATCGTAAAGCTCCCACCGAAGAGACACCCGTTAGGAAAGAAATGAGCTCTGAATCTCTCTCGAGCCAACCTAGCGACTTTGATAGACGGACCTCATCGGGAGCAGCATCTTCGACGAGCTCTCTTCAAAAAATTCCAGTTTTAGCAGTTGTTCATAACGTACAGCCGAAAGCACAGCACAGATCGACGTCTAATCTACATGAATACAGGAAAAACGCCAACCAGTTTAAAGACTCCTTCGAGGAGGAAGATTAATGGGTTATTTTTGTATAGTGTATGGACTCCATGGCGACATGAATAGAGAAAATCTGTTWTTACTCAAGAAGTAAAGACAGAATCTTAGTCAAATATTATCTATTTTTTAAAGCTTGTTATATTTATGTATAGCGAATTGGCATGGATGGTTATATACAAAGGTATGGAATATAATTTTAATGTACATACACACTAAATACAGAGCGAAAATTATTCTTAAAAATCCCTTGTAGTATTGAAGTGCGTTTCGCTATTGACCTCAATGACTTTCCGATCATAAAAGATTTATTCGCATATCGGCGGACTGCACCAATAGAATATCAATATACACGAACAGCTGAACGGAAGTTTGTTCTACAAACAAAACAGATATTTGTGAAAAGGGAAAAAATTCAAATTGGGAAGAATTATTTATTTAGGATGAAGAGTTTTGCCGAGAATGGCGAAAACTAGAATAGAGGTCATTGCTTTTTAGAGGGTRTATACTTGAATTATCTCCAGTTAAGTTAACTAGTGTTCAAAAATTAGAAATCTATTTTTGACTACCTTAAACAAGATGGCTTAATTTCATACGCTTAAATTTTTGGTTTTTGATTTGTGGCGAGACAGTCAAGCCACGTGTATTTAAGCGAATTTCACAAACGGCGGGAAATGATCCCGAAAATTMTAGGTCCAAATATTACCGATATCAAAACCCGGCCATGCGTGCTATTTATTTTGATCGAGAAGTACATACAATGMCGACGAAATGTCGCACAAAAACAATCAATTGAATTCATGTGGTGCTTGGAAACCAGCGGGCGAAAGTTTGAATGATGCTTGGTTGATATAATATATCATATTATGACGCGCGCTGCAATATTGTTTCTCAAAGGTGGATAAATATGTTGGAATTCAAGTATTAAATTTTAACAGAAATAATGCGATTCACGAATATGCCGAAAAATTGTAATTTTTTTAATAAAACGAAATTATACAAAAAGACTACTGTTTTTATTTTACTGATAACGTCAGGCTGTTATTGTTGCATTTGGTCTTGTGGCACCACGAAGGATTCTTAGTTGTTGTTTCACTGTTTTTAAGGGTTTTTTGCTGTTAGTTTTATAGCTTATCAGTGATTGATGATGAAAATAAACTTTCGTGAGTTTCAGTTTCGGATGGTGGCAGGCGAGAAAACTTTATTGTCGCACAGTAATTCCATATGTCGGTCCCAGTTCGCTCTCTGTTTTGAATCCGTTTTGTCACCGCACACGAATCCRACGAAGCGATAATTACGACTCATGGCATTTTTTTGTTATAATTTTTTTCACTTATTTCGGGTTGTGTTTTTCATTGATTAATAAATTGATTATTCACACCATCTGTTTATACAAATTTATTAACCTTAATATTTAATTCAAATTTTGCAGTCCGGCTAACAGACCTATTCACAGACTAGACCTGGATATCATATGGTCTATCAGACAGACATTGCAGTCCATAAACGGCTGTCTGACAGACTTTCATTGGCTGTCTATCAGACATATTGTTTGAAATTGTTTCAAAGACCTAAGGCGAAGAGGTGACACTAAAATTAAGCAGTTAGTTGCTTTTAGTTATTGATATGGAACGCCACAAATTTCTCAATGATTTTTACTTGGGTGATTAATAATGYACTAGCCGCGGGAACGCTAAGAAAGTAAAAAATAAACCAAAATATAAAAATACTGCGGATTATATGAATTAAATGCCAGTCGTCTTTTCCCAAAATTTTAACAGAATAAAAAATCCCACAAAATCTTGCACACCGGCATGTGTTTCAACAGTTATGGGTTCATTAGAGAGCAAAAATGTACACGGATAGTCTGCTGTAACGATTTGCCAGTTTTTTTTTCCAACAAACCAGGTATCAATCTTGAGAAGTTATCCTTCAGCAGCATGTTTGTAGGAGAGTAATAATATAGCAAATGCGGACCGATACTGCTATTCGAACTTTCGCTGTTATACGGCATCGTCATCGTTTTCTGAAAACGTTTTTCACTGAAATTTTTCAGTCCTGATGATGCTGTAGAACAGCGAAAGCCCGACTTCATCTAAAGTTAGGTATTTACCGTCTAACAGTAGTAWCTGGACGCATTTGCTATATTATTAAATCAGGTATTGAACTGAGTACGTATCGAAAACAACATGGCATGATGTGGTTTTGTTTGTAAAAATTCATGAAAACAGCGAACGTGTCTTGTCATGCCGAATGCGTCCTCATCAAATCAAGTTCTTCAATTTATATCAAAGTTTTTGCTAAAAAAGAGACTGGTGCGTAGAATCAATAAAAAGACACCAGTTTGAATCCGAGTATCAGCGCACTCAGCCGTCTAGTGTTTTAGTGTTTATCGGATTTTTCACTTGATTGCTTCTTGAGTGTCCAGAGGTTGAGTGTCGATGTTTTGCTTTGGTTCCCGCTCAGGCTGAATCCTTCGAAGAGTAACATCCGTAGGAACGACATCTTTATGAAAACCAAAGTTWACGATTTGTTTGGTTGAAGGAGGGACTGAATCGTCCCGTTTCACGTACACTTCAGATGCATAATACTTATTGAAATAGGATTCATCGTAACTGTCCCGGCCATTACGACATAGGGGATAGAGAATTCCAGCTGAAATCACTACCCCTCCTAAAGATAAAACAGCTAACCCTGTGATTATAAAAACTTCAACATACAACTCAACACGCTCTATGTCTCTAAGTTCTTGCTCAGTAAGTCTCTTCCTTTCCTCAAAGGAAGGAGTCTTTTGAGGTAATGTATACCCCATAGTTAGAGCTAAAACCCCGAGTATCAGTAGCAGTATACCACTTATAATTCCCCAGTTACATTTAGGATCTTGCTTATCGTGTCTTGATTGCATCCAGGAGCAGTCGCAACATTGTACTGGCTGCGATGTTGGTTCGTACATTTGCTGGTGGTAGCCACGAATAAGACCGAATCGAGAACCTCCGTGCGTCCCGCTTCGGTTTATTTCATCGTAGCTCGGAGGTTGGTGTAGAGCATAAAGATGCTGCATGCTATCGTAAGTAGCTGTACCTCTATTATATTCAAGTGACGGGTACAAACCATGGCCTTCCTTTGGTCCATCCACAGTGTAACACTGTCCGTTTTGTACAGAATTGTTTTGGTCATTGATATTTTGATTGCCGTTCATGATCCACGGTCAGACTTTTTTCAAAATGTGCATTTACTTCGACGTAGTGAAGTTGCTAGTCAGAGCCTTGAGCGGGATATAAAGCAATGGAGCCTTCGATTCAGCTTCCTCGTAGCTTGAATCCATTCTTAATACATTCCCAGTGTTTTCTCGTTAGGCAAAGATTATTATAACAATATGATCACATCTCAACAGATGGACCACATACCATTAATTTACATCCAAATGATATAGAAGCCCAAGGAGGTTAAATAACGCTGTTAACAATGTCTTTTGGGCTGTATAACATGGCAATATCACCAAGGAAATTGGAATAATGGTCCAAGAAATGAGAATATAATGCAAAACAAATGAACGAATACGTTTTTGTGGTTTCCATAGTGTTCGCAGTTAACGTGTGGAATGCACCTGCTGTTTCAATAATTCATGCATGTCATCGAAGGCAGGTCTCCAAGCTGTGATTGGTTCAATAGATCCTAATATCAAACTATAGTCACATTGGTAACTTGCAGGGAAACTTYAGGTGCTAAAACCTTGATAAACCTTATCTTGTTAATTGAAAAATGTAACAGGATTTCTTAGAAAATTGAACTTTATTGATAGTCGCTAAACTAATCACGACTTGAAAAGGATTAGATTTTGACCTCAATGGAAAATATAATTAACACCACAGTAACAAGACAATATTGATTGGTGTGATACAAAAACAAGATATATTATTTGATAGTTCAAAAGTGGCGAACAAAAACAATATAGTCGTCTAATGAAAATATCAACACGAGCATTTTTGTTGGGTCAGCGGTCTTGTTTGTGGCTTCGAAGGAACCGTCAGTGGTACGAGTATGGAGACAGTTTTTATAACTCGAGTTATTTATCTCATACTAGAATATGTATGGCTGACGCCTCCGTTTTCTTAAAATGTGAATAAACTAAAACCTAAAACAGATAAAAGTGAATTTTTACAAATTTTATTTATATTAAGATACGAGTACGCAAAAGTAACTTGAAAGAGTTTCAGATTAAATTTTAGTAAACACTACTAATCAACGCGAAAGGTTCCATACCAATAATAAATCTCTTCGAATATAGTTGTGTAAAAAGATAAATTTAACACCGCCGCAAAAGAGTAGGTGAAATAACTTACTGACGTTTCGGACGTTAATCATTCTATAGAAACACCGACGCAGCTCACACTAGCTAGTTCCTGCCATCTTCGAATGTATACTGCATACGTCAAACATTTCTGCCAACTTGTTCATTTAGCTCACAAGCCCCTTGTCCGACCCAATGAACCCCTTACCGGTTAGGTATTCTACACATTATAAGGGTACTAGTAAGTGCGATGACACAAACTTTAACCCTCTAGTACTATGAGGAGCTTTGAGAGGCCGATTTACTGTCCCTGCACTTGCTCCAGTTGAAGGTGAAGAACCCTTACTCAAATATTAGAATATTGATAAAGATCCTAATAAAATTGCCATAAAAAAGGAACAGAAATTGCGTAAATAAAAAGCGATATTTTGCTAACGAGTTCTATTTGATGTTATGACGTTCTCTCAGGTGGGGGGGGGGGGGGGGGGTCACCCTACATCCCACTGACGGAGCGGGTGTGGGAAAATATAGGAGATTTGATACGCCTACAAATACTACAACAAAATCAACTCTATTTAGTTTACAACTATCTTATATTAGACACTTTTGATATACAAAGCTGCACAACAATTGTACAAAAGCTTTATCCTAAGTTATTATTATTATTATTATTTGATAATAATAATAGATTCTACCACTCCATCTAGTATCTTGTTTATATACTCGTACATGGTTATCAACCACATAGTTCGGAATTTATTTATTTTTTCCATTTTCGTTTGTGTTGGTCTCGGTACTATCCCCTTCGCCGAGTTTCTCCCCCTCTAAATCATTTAACTTATCTTGCAGGCACTCGATGAACTTTAGAGTATGTCGAATTGTTTGTAGTTTGGTTGGCTTTTTTATCGCGTTTAGTGTTGGTACAACTTCTCGGAGCTTTTTGTAAGCGCCTTGCTCGGCTGCACTTCTTTCTCTATCCCGTTTTGAGTCTCGCTTTCTTACTTTTTTGCGTTTCTCGCCGTCAGAGAGAACTGAACTACAGCTCACTTTAGAAGAGACGGACTCGGCAAGACTGCTTCCTCCGAATGAGGTCGCCATATTGCTTTCGTCGTCCTCTTCAAAAGCCTGCATAGAATCTGAAGTAGTAAGACTTGCTGGTGTTGYGATGCCATCACCGTTGTAAAGGAATTCTCTGTTTTCTGTACATAGTAAGCCAAAGTCAGGGCCGCCTGGCAAACTGCAGTCATCCTCCATTACACTTCGAACTGAAGACATCAAAAGCGAAAAGCAYATGCTCAGCTAGTGTTTCTCGAAAGATTGCTAAATAAGGTGGAATTTGTATGACTTTTTGGCCAGTTTTTTGAGTAAAACATTGGCAAGACGTATAAAGATTAATTTGTACTTACAGGAAGCAATACGAAGTTGTTGGTTTGGAAATCGTTGGGCGTTTTCAGAAGCCTTTTTCGATTATTCAAAGTTCTATTCGATCCGCATGGCGTGAGCAGTCAAATGSTTTCCTCTGTCAATCAATTTCGTACATTGAACATGATTGGCCATCTCGCTTTCACGCGAATCACTGTTCTAAATTTGCATATTTACTAGTATAAACGCAATTTTAAAATTCGGGTCTACACTATGCATACATTTGCGACCTTTTTGTACGTTTTTTTAAATTTCATCCTTATTYAAACTTATTGCCTTTGTAGACATTCCATGCATAAAGGCTGTGTTTCACTCTCTGACGTCTAGCCCAAAACTCTAGCTTTGTCGGCCCTTGTCAGTTAGYGCTAACTTACATAAAGATAACAGCAAAACTGCTCGAGGCTGARCGCTTTAGGCWAYAGATGATTCGCTCAAAGCGAAACGTAGACTAAAAAATACGGACTTACTAGAGTGTAATTCGTTAAAGTAGCGATTCTAGCTAATAATTACTGAAAGGAGGGAGCCTACCCTCTCCTGACAAGTAAACATTTTAGGCATCACGCGATGGACGTGAACTTGCCCCTCGGTTTTTCGAGGCTGCTTGGGGCCTGCAAAGAGCGCATTTCCCCGGGCGCAYTTCATTCGTGATACGGTTCAGTCAGWGCAACTATAACGGTGAAGATTTTCATTATCAATGGAAATAATAATAGCTTTTGGCGTGGGAAAGACTTTTAAAAAGACGACACACCTCAACGATAACTGCATCTCGAGTTCACATTTCACCATCTATGATAAATTAACTGCAAATGAAATCAGATTTTCAATCGTATCTTTGAGCCATATTTATACTAGAAACGAACACTAATTATCACTGATTGATGATTTATGAAGCCGAATTTTCATCTTCGTTTGAAAATTCTATCATAGTCCGAAGACTTTTTAAACGAGTATTTGACAGCATGTACAGAGCCGAACGTTGAACACGTCTAGACTCCTAAAAAATGAATGTTCATATAATCTCTTTGCAATAGTCCACAGATATAGTTGTCAGATTAGTCACAGGTATCATGGGCCATTGGATACTTTTCGATCTTTTCTCAGTTTAAATATCTGCTTTTTCAACGCCCTTGTAATTGCCATTTCCACTTCAACATAACGCCCTCGCAATTCACACTTTAGACGCAACGTTTGGATAGTCTGTAAGTCATATTCAAAGTCCGTCGCATGAAATATTTGTATACGAGAGCTAGAAAATAATGCCTCAAATTAGGAAATAGAAGTGGCATTGATATGATATATCGGTATTGTATTGCTTAAGGGCAATCGGTCATTGATCCGCGGGTCTTCTTGGTATCGTAAAACGGATATCTGAACAAGCCTAAGGGACTTGGCCTAAGGGGTGTAAAGTATCCCCGAAAGGTACATATCCGTTTCTATTTTCACCTGCGGCGTTTTCGTTTTCACTAGAATATGTTTGGTATATATTATACATTTTAGGCCTAACTTGACAACCAGAAAAAGGCAAAAATAGGCAAAGTAATAAAAGTACAACCTGATAAGAAATATATTATTTTGAGCCAATTGAGTGGATATTGTYCGTTCAACAAAAAGGGATTGGTAATCATATACCCAGTTTTGTGACTGTCATACGAACGGGACTGAGCTATATATTTGTCTGCATAAAACAATGCGAAATATTTAATGTGATTTCTAATTGAAATTTGAGTAAAATGAAATGATCCTAATATTCGTGCACTAATAATTTGTTATGGTAGTAGTCACGCGATGGCATAAAATTCTTTTGAGGTGCGGCTTTTAGTAGTAGACACGGTTCTGCTACAAATACGGAATCAACCCGAGGACATAATTGAAAGATCAAAGAGCATGGATGAGATATGCTTCTTAAATCGGTGCCATTATTTTCGTGAATGGCAGGCCATTATAAAGATATCTAGGTCATTTTTCATTGATTCTTGTATCGGTTCGGTTAATCCAGCAATACCTTGGTATAGCAATTACTTTTCATTATACTTAATTGATACCAAATGTGTGGAATTAACCTTTATAATTCACTCTAAAAACTGAGAATTATTGGTTGTTGCGTGGTCTTGACGTGCATATGATCTAGCTGTGGCCATTATGAAGAATTACTTCTTCGTATAATGACTGATGCGCTCTAGCTTCTACTTCTACTTCTACTTAATTTATTTGCAAAATCCTCCATTTACTGTGGCCGTGCTGCAAGGATCTTCAGCGGCTGCTGCAACCTTTCGTGTATCCATACCTAAAGTGTCTTATAGGTGCAGGCTTTTTTTTTTGCACTATAGCATAGTTAACTATGACTATAGTTACTATGTACTCAGAGAACGGCACCCGTTTGTGACCCGCAATTTTCACACAATGTGCATACAATTTATATATGAAAACTATATTAAAACGAACCTTCCGAGAGAGTTCTGCATATTTACAATGACAGCTACTTCAAGAACTCTGCAAAAGCCTTTTACATATGTAAATATCACGACTTATTGGGAGCCATTATATGAAATTCTACACAAATTCTCATGCTTATATTTTTGCAAAAGGAATTCAGCATAAATCAGCTYATTTAATGGCTAGAGAGAGAACTATCACCCCAGGCCAAGTACTCGGTTAAATGTTATCAATGAGATTCACAATTATTGCACATCAACTACAGTGATAACATCATCCCTCATGGCTAATCTTGCACCAGATATGCCTAACAATTCACCCGACCAATGCTTCCTTACAGTATCATGAAGTATCAATGAATGGACAATATCAACACTTCAACTTATCTTCAATTCATTATCGTCGCAGATTTAACTTTATTACAGTCATTGGCATCCAAATTATTTGGTCCTTGAAACTAAAGGGTCTTGAAGTGCAAGAAAGATACGGTTTCGCGAAGTATGGACGTAAAATTCTACTAAACTCAAAATTATTTGATTCACCAATAGCGAGATTATGCAGTCACTTTATCTATTACTTTGAATAGATAAATATTTACAATTTGGATTTATAAACATAAACTACGCGCGCCCAAAATTGCAAGAAAAAATGTCAATTGTTTTGAGTTGGGACAAGAAAATCCTATATCTTTCAAAAAACTACGTTCAACATAAAGAAAAATAACGAAAGCAGTAGTATATATCATATCGTGAAATCAGTTTGCAAAACGTGCCAAAAACGTATCAAACATAACTGTAGCAGCATGCAAATTCTATTTTTTTTTTCGAGTTTCACCAGTAGTAATGTTTTCCACATGCTCGTACGTCAGTTTTTTGAACGATATCTTTTTCATTTACGGCTCCTATTCAACTGCTTTCTCTCTACCCTGAGGCCAAGTACAAGTCATCATCTTAGGTGTGGTTTTGAGTCCTAGCTAGAGATGTTGACGATAATAGCCATCAAATATACCCTTCCGAAAGCACTTCTTGAAATATGGGTCACTATAGAGTAGTATGGTACGAGTTACTGAAAGATTTCGGCCTAAAAATGAGCGGATCGGGCGTAATTACTTGATCTTGGGATTTCTCTGTCTCTTGTATTGCTAAATGATCTGATAGGACAATTGTATGCCCTAAAGTGCAACCTTATGGCAGTCTGGAAGGCTCCAAGCACAGTAATGCGTTTACCACATCTCTATCAAGAACTCTTGTTTGGGGTCATTGGCAGTCTTTAACTTACACACGGAATATTCAAATGAACTCATCACAGTTAAGGCTGTTGAAAGCATTAATGTGAAGCGTCTGGCTTTAAATGCTGGGGTTTTGCAACGTTTTTTTTTTTCTCTGTGCCATGGAATTTGTAATAGGTCTACCTGTCTACCGACGTGACTGTGTGCATGAGAAAATGAGGGCGCGCAAATAAAAATCACTTTACACATAAAAAAGAGCAATAAATCAACTTTAAAAATTCTTATTCTCTAGACTATAGAAATGATAAAAATGAACAAAAAGATGTTTTACAAGACTAAGGCTTAACTTTCAAGTAGAATGGATTATTTGAGATCATACGTAAGAGAAGAAATTGATAAAATCTGCCCTTTGTGAAGCTCTTTCTATCTTATACCAATTTAGATATGTTATCAGAACATTGCACACTCGTAGAGACTCGGATAAGAAGGCTTGAATTGCTAGCCAAGTAATAAACTTACTCTTCCAGTCACCATAACACAGCACGTTTTGCAAGAAATGGGAAGATACACAAGCTACGAATTGACACAGCGATTGAGCCACGACTTTGCTACGGAAAAGCCACGCAAACGGGCTAACTACGACCAACCATCTGCTAACGCTTTACGAGAGCGAATAAGAGCTCAAAATCTCAAAAAAGCTTACATAGAATTGCAGAAAACGCTACCTAATGTACCTCCAGACACGAAGCTTCCTCGCCTGAACATCCTTCTTCTTGCCATAGACCATATAGAGCATTTGATGAATGTTCTCTCACAAGAAACTGCTCTTACAAACGAAAGGCTGCCGAGAAAGGAAAATATGATTCAACCCTTCATCAAGGTTAGTATTCAGTGACAGTTGTAAGGAGGACGCACTAATGCTTAGCTCAAAATCCTCTTTGTCAAGTCCCAGCAGCCATGCTTGTTCAGTGCCAAACATGAAATGACGTTTTATATAAACACGCTCTTGTAAAAGTTATGTTGTCTTTACAAACATAAAACGTTTGTTTTGATATTACACGTCATCCGTCAAGAGGACACTTTTATTGGCTGTTTTCTTTTCAAATAAAGTTTGTTTATTCTAACTGAACGATAAAGAGAAAATTATACGGTCGTGGTGCCTTCGAAGAATTAGCAATGGCCTTTTAGTTTATTAAAAACAAAAGCTACAACAAGTCGCCAAGGAAATGTTTTGTTACGATCTTATGAAGAAGAAGTTATKTTGGAAACATTTTTACTTCTTCTGAGTACAAATTTAACACCAGAGCAAGTGCAAATTTGCCGAAATTCTTTTTATTCATCGGTGGGTTGAAGAAAGCCTTAATAGTCATTGTAATTGATCTTCAAGTGCCTTTGGTCTTTTAAAGAATTCTACTTTAGCCTGGCATGGTGGTCCGAGTGTTTGCCATATGGTTGTTCTTTACGGGTAGAGCAATAAAAGTGATTTGGATCAAAAAGCGATTAATTCATACCGACAGCTCAAAGGTATCTGGCACAGTTCAAAACCTGAATTTGAAGAAAAAAATGAACTGATCTTTTTTAGTACAGTCAGTACAAGTTCAATCGCACGAGACAGCACTAAGACATGTAAAACGTAACTTATATCACCTTTTAGGAGCCAAAGTTCTCGAGGAAAACTTTTCAGGCACATCTGGTTTATCTGCGAAATATCGGCTTTCCTAGATTACTTCCTTATTTTTTATATGCCCACATGTATTATAACAAAAACTGACAAATTAATGTTTATTTTTGTCACTGAGAGTTTTCTTATAACTGCTTTGTAAGGAAAGTTTGCTTGAATTAAATTGACATTCCAATAACGAGTTTTGTGATTACTTTTTCACAGAAATGGCCCGCAAGAACACAGTTATTTGCTGAGACACCTCAACAACCACCTCCAGTCGAATACCTACCAAGTTGTATGTTTGAAACGAGAAGGAACTCATACCAACGCTAATGACGCGAGGACTCGCCCTATTGTACAGCGGCTCCACCTTGATGTCACCTCAATACGAATTTATCAGTTGTACAAARATGAACAAAGTTCTAAAATATTCAGCTTGCTAATCGTTATTGTAAGACTGGCATTTACTAACCAGTCATATTTCGACTTGTTGTAGACAGTTGCTGCGAATTTTCCGCGTCAAAGAAGGCCGGATTCATATAAGAGTGTAAAATTGGTAACGAGGCGAAGGCTGAATCAGAATGCCTGCTCGAAACTAAGAAAAAAAAAACATTTTGATGACTTTTTTGGATGAATTGTGATTTTATGATAAAACATTCATATAAATAACACGATAGGACATGAAAATGTAAAGATATGCGTTGTATTCACGACATTATATATTAAGCCAATAAATGAAAGATTTGAGTTGTAGAGAGGGTTTATATTATATCTTCTTAGGAAAGCGCTCAATCCATTGGAAAATTAAACAGCAGGAAGAAATATATAAATCATTTTAGTAAATTATATCATCACAGGACGATGGAGAAAAAAAGCAGCAATTTCTTCGTCGCGCGGAAAGCTGAAACCTGAAAATACACGCCGTAAATTAATGTAATACTGTCTGCGCAAAAAGATGTGTTTGAAGATGCTGTTTGAAGCTGATTCTTCATAAACCGTTGCCGCTGCTATATTTCATTTCCGATGCAGGTCTGTTATAAATATCGTAAATAAAACAAGTTAGAAACAAACTTTTCTCAACGTTTTAATGTCGGATTGATGCTATTATCTGGAACATGGGCGAGACAATCTTGTCAATCTAGCCGGATTAAATCACCTAGGCGTATCCTGGGAAAACAGCCGTGACATTTCACATTTACTTCAAACACAACTTCAACTGAATACGCAATGCCAGAAGAATTTTGTGACGTAAACTGCCGGCGCAGATTTGAGCAAACCCTAGACGCTCCTAAACTATTTCGTTCACTTCTGAAAACATTGCTCGCCTAACACAATGTGTGATTGGACTGAAACGATCGTATTTGAACGATCACTTTCTCTTTTTATTTGTCGAGCGTATAGATTTGGCATTCCATGAGCCCGAAATCGGCCGAATAAACTATCCCTACTCGTAGATCTGAAAAAATCTCATTATTTTTGTACTATTTTCGCTTCGCTCGATGCGACCATAGTCTATCATGCATAGGACATAGATTCGTAGCCAATCAGAATGATAGATTTGTGATAGATCATAGTTCGGTAAATACTGTAACTGGCCACGGAGGATTACAAAATGGCATTTGGTTAATCAAAAGTGCCTATTATAGAGTTATATACCTATTATATATTGTACAGTTCGTTTGAGATGTGTACCATTGAAAACTATTACAAAATGAACCTTAAAACCAAACTCTTGAGATTAAAGTGTTTCAGTACCAAGAAAGCAAAAACAAAACAAACAAAGGAGGCAGTTATTCATTTAATGATGAAATAATACAGCAATAATTTACCATTATTTCATACGAAAAAAGGAAATATTTTTTATACCTTCATTAAATCAGAATCATTTTCACCAAAAATGGACTTTTGAGTTAGAAAACTGACTTGGAAATGAAAAATTCTATGATAATGAAATACACTAGGTTATAAAAGAAATCTTTTTTTCTAAATTTGTTAAAAAAACACACACATATAAACTTACTTCAAAGCTTAACTGTATACATAAATAACAAAACGCTTCATTGAAGATAGGTTATGATTTCACTAAAGTTCACTATATATTCTTGTTTTGACAAATTCTTGCCTTAGATATCAACCATTATGAGTAGAAGATGATGAATCCATAGGAGATTTATAAAATGTCAAACTAGTAGTGCTTTCGATGAATTAAATTATTTAACAATCCAGAAAGTTGGCAGCCATGAGAAGCTCCAGAGCGATCTCTGGTGCAATGGGGAACTCTGGGATCTCTGTGCTGCTGTTTGTGTAGCGGACTTTATACATGAAGTACATACATACTTTGGCCAGGACATGGGACCTAGTGGAAACATACACAAGATATCACAAATTAGTATTACCATACTAGTGGACTATTGCAAATCCTTTGGCCTCATGGGCTAKCAGCTTGTACTCCACTMGCCCTCGAGATCTAATTGTTAAATATCACARTAGCAAAATAATTCAATTCCTATTACAAAGTAAATTCACATAATTCATTGCCATACTCTATTATTGCTGTCATACTTACGGAATCTCCCTGAAGTGGACCTCATTGGTTTCATTTTCAGAAAACTGACCTGTGTAAGACAAACAAAATAATTCTGGGTCAACAATAGCACTCTGCAATGGATCCCATCTTTCCAAGCCAGGAGGATTTTCTTTCTAAATGATTGTCTGAAGTTCATATGCATGGCAGCCCAGTGAGATTAGAATTACATAATTTACTGAACCCAAGGTAGTTGGTGGTTAGTCAACACCAACAATTATATTTGGAACACCCCATGGGAGTTTTTGGGTAATCCATTAAACCTCTAAGCCATTTCCGTCACTCGACACACGACACATGACAATCGTAGAGAAAAACGAGCAAATTTTGCTGCTGTATGGAAGACTGTGGGGTGACTGTGGGGGAGGAAGTATTGCAAAATCAAAATGGCGGTTAGGTGACTCCAATCACCATAAGATTTCAAAAGACTTATCTTATTGTTAAGCTATTTTTTTAAATTAAATCTAACATCAAGCTTATTCATTTATATTGTAACCAAAGATATGTACCTTAATATTGGAGTTAATAAAGACCTATTTTATTATTCTTATGCAAACAACAAACAAATGTATGAGTAATAATTACCTGGACCACTTAACATGGCTTTTATAGTACCAGACGTCAAGGCATAATCTCTGTTGATGATGAAGGCATGCCCATCACTAGAAATCAGTTTCACATACATGGCATTAGGTCCTTCACATCCTCCATAGACTGGTTCTGTCTGGCCTTCTTCTTGTTTTTTGTCCTCCATATCTGTCATATCTGTTCTCCTTAGCCACTGGAAAAAAGAAAAAAAAAAACATCTTAAAATGTTAACTAATGTACTAGTAAGCTTAATAAGTACTGTATGAAATTATAAGTCAAGTGATTGTTTTCAAATAACAGTTTCAAGTTCAAAATAAGTTTATAATAAAGTATATATGTGCATCAACAACCTTGCAGTTTTTTCACATACAAAAATTCAGTGCTCATGACTTGTATTTATCTGGAAAACATACATGACAACAATATGTGGTATGCCAGACAAAACTCCTTTTTAATGTTCTGCTTTGCTCAGGCTCAAGCTCCAATAGTCTCCTCGCAGCCGTGTTTAGTTTCGCAACTGTGATGCTTCACCGAAACTAAACACAGCTGCGAGGAGACTAAAGCTCCAATTGAGGGTAAAATATTCAAAAACTATTTAATAATATAAATTTTGGGATTTTTACTAGTGTTCTTGTCTTTTGTGTTCACAATTTTCTTTGAGATGCTGTTGCTTAAAACATTAGACAGCATCATAATTTAACCTCAACAAAAGACAACGTCTGTGAAAAAGGTGATCATTATTTGAGTATTTCCATAGAAACTAAAAGTACAAATTAAGCATCCATTTACAAAATTATATGCTGAAAAGTTTAACTGTGAATTGGCAGTTCAAAAATCATAGATCCTGAAAAGTTATTTTTTACGATGTACAATAACACTGCAAATGTTATTATTATGGTTATTGTTTAACAATGAGTCTTTCAATTAGTTTGAGTTTTCAGAAACAGGAGAAAAATAAATAATACCAAGTGTTTGCGGCTGTACAACAGCATGACTTCACTGAATCATTAGTGAAAACATAGTTAATATGATGAATATAATAACGAGATTTGACTGAGATTATTTTGATCCTTTGTGATCTCAACTGACAAACTGGCCTTTACAAATATCATTAGCAACTATAACCAAAGGGAATTGAGCCATTTCCTTGCTCAAAGACTGTTAAAATATTTTTTTGAACGTTTTGCATCAGGATAATATTTATGACCAGAGGATTTTAAATATCTTTGACATAAATATTGACATTTTCACTCTCCATTCTTCGTGTGAGAGCAATTCAAATAAAAGTACCCTGTGATTAAATGCAGGATTTATTAGTATGTTAACATGTTACAGTTGTAAAAATGCCCACACAATATGATTATATCTCTTACGAGACAAATGAACCTAACAATACCAAAGTCTTTTACGAGTAGTCCATATCTGATACAACAGGTAAGCTTATAACGTACATGCAGACGACAGACTGTACAAAAGCAAGCACGGAATGAATGCTACGAATATTACTTCATCTTAACACCGTAATGAACTTATGACTTCGTTTAGTGATAGAACATAACAATTGCTCGCTTAATTGTGTTAATGTAGAAGCAAAAACGAAAACGATTTTATATAACATCTAAGTCTCCCATAAAGTCTCATTTTCCTTTTTGCCCAGTAAGGTTAAATGCACATTTAGAATAAGCAATTTAATTCCTTTGTAAATGATTTAGATGATCTTTCTAGGGATAAGACAAAACATAAACACGATTTCAACATCCCGATGAATCTTTCTATTACTAAGAAAAAGAAATCGGTTTAAATATTCACAGCATTATGCTCAAATCTCCTTGAATGCATCGCAGTTTCGTCAACAAAAAAATATTCAGTTCAATCAGATCACGGAATGGAAATCACGATTTCACACAGCAAATCGGCACGATTGGATAAAAGAAAGTTACTTTAGATAAGTGTGGAGCTGGTCTTACCTGGAGAAAGATTGAAATGAAGTCCTGACTAAAGATTTTTAGACAGGAGTATGACAGAATCCTCGTTACTTGAAAATGTAATGGTTGCTTTTACACATGACTTGATAAAGCACTCGTGTCCAGGCTATCTATTCGCTACTTTCGGTTACACAGGAAACCCATTRACAGTAGAAGTTTGAGTCTGTTTCGTTGAAAAATCAACGAATGTCGATTTTTGCGAAATCTACAAAACTAAAATCGAATGTACGATTTTAGGGGAAACTGCTCTAAAGTTCCATGCATTCTTCGTTTATTTTTTTCGATTTTTTTCGATTTTTTTTAAAAACGCTTCCCGCTTAGTAAGTATTCGTCGGAAGGACGTCGCTTCCACGTACGAGGGAGGAGATAGGCCGATCCCTASGTCGTAACTGACTRCCAATGCATCACATCATGTAATATTTGTATCAGGCTCTCTGGAACCGGCTCTGCCATGTGTGACAGAAATATTTTTAATGAAACACATTTTAATGTAAACAAGCTACTAATGAAGCTTTAAAAATTGTGCGCCAAAAAAATAAAAAAAATAATAAAATTAAATTAAAAAAAATTAATAAGAAAAAATTAACAAAATTAATAAAATAAAAAAATAAATAACTTTTTGGTTGCTGCTAGCTTATTCTTTAGGAATAGTTTATAGGTCCCATGTGGTATTTTGTATTCGTCCAATCACTTACAGAATAGCTGGAATGGTGTATTTTTTAATTCCACTTTATTTCTCATTATACTAAATTCTACAACTATTAGATCGATCACTTTCAAGTCTTTTGTTCCATGGTATTGATCGTGTCATCGTCTTGGTGCATGATCTGAAATAAATGTATCAGGAATCTTATCAGAAACTTTCATTATTCTTACTTAACGTCTACTGCTCTTAAATTTAGCGGATGGAATTGAAAAAAAAAACCAATGAGTTCAAGGTTTCTTTCAAGAAAGTTAAAAGTGAAAAAAAGAAAAAACTCAAATGCAGTTGAAATCAAGAGAAAATGAAATCGAATGTTTTGCGCGTAATAACAATTCTCGCCAACAATTTGTTGGAATTGCACTCATCACGGTCTTTTCATTCTCTTATTTCCTCTCTATAATTCTTCTTAAATCTCCTTCCTATTCAATGTACAAACTGAACTGCGAGGCAACATTCAGTGTGGACGTGGATTCAAATACTGGGTACACAAATGAGTGAAATTTGTGTTTTTTGGTGTTAGGGTGAGGTCAAGCTGTACGGCGCTTGTAGATGAACATTTCTCACCCAGCTATTTGAACAGGTAGACACTCATAAGACGGTATCCACCAAGACGATTTTTATCGCATTTTGCTATTAAAGAATGCTTTCCAAAACGGCTAGGCTTATCTCCTGATGAAATCGTGTAGCACAGCCGAGTTCCAAAAAACCCGCTCAGCAAACTCTCCCACTGTATAGCAAAGCCAACGGCGTTTCTGGATTTGGCCAGATTCTCGCAGTCGATGCGGGCGTGTTTGTAGTCGTATTTTTGAGCTGATGACGACTTTATGGCATGGTGGAGTTCCAAAACATCTAACAAGGTGTAGGAATTAAAGCAGCCCTTGTACTCTGCAACTATATGAAAATAACAATTGATAATGAATTTGAATTTATTTTTTTTTGTTGATAAGACGATCTCATGTTTAAAAATAAATATTAAAAAACAGGTCAATAAAAAGGTTATACTAATATAGAAATACAGTAAAAAATAAAAATACAGTCGTGAATATCATATGTCAAAATTTCTCATTTTGGAGAAATAGACTGAGCTATTATTTTATTATATCGTCATTATATTTTATCTAGTGACCCAGTTTCAAATCATTTGCTATTTCACCATTTGCTTTTTATTACTTTCATGAATGTAGGACAGTATCTTTGAAAACAGGTGTATAATATACATATTATCAACTAGACTCTGGATATGCTATAGTAAAGCCGTGCCTGAGTTGTCTCTTAGTCCCTACAAGCCAACTTGAACATCTAGTGGCTGGCTTCCTGTGTGTATTTCAAGCTATTGGGTTTCTTTTGGCTGTTTTTGCACTTTGTTTGCTCGAAAGGGACTATAGGAGTGATTAGAAAGTTGCTTGAAAATTGCGGTGTGGCTGATGGACTTCAGTTTTATCGCGTTTGCTTGAGATTGGTTTCCGTGGCAGTTTTTTAGCGTAAATGGATGGCGCTGTTGCTTAGTCTCTTATGACCGCGGGAGGAATGTGACCCTCGACCCGACCAGAAAAAGAAAAAAAGAAAAAAAAAGAAGCCTGGACACGGCTATAATAAGGAGAGTGTTCAGACTGAGCCGTAAGTTTAATGAACCGTTTTCTCTTACCCGGGAATTTGTAGACATCATTCCGCCACGAACCACCAAGGCCATCTTTGCATCCTTCACCTCTACCATACTTGGCATAATTCCCCTTTCCAGACCAGCATTCACCGCCATTTTGAAGTCCAAATACGGTAAAGCCCCTTGCCTTTGCTTCTCTTGCGCATTTAACTACTGATCCAGAACCATCAGACAAGTGAGCACGAAGGGCTCGTCTAGGTTCATCATGATCTTTGAAGCAGCCAACCTTTTCTGATTGAATTATATTATATAACATTGAAACATTTCTATAGTTGGATTTTTCGTTATGCTTAAAAATACATAAGAAAATACTTGTCAAACCGTGAAAAAAAAGTTGTATAAAAAGATAATTCAGTTAACACCGTAAAAATAGGTGAAAAGGAGCAAAGAGATGAAACTACTTTAAGTAGGAGTTTATATAATGAGAGGAGCAAAGATAGTAGGCCAATACAAGGAGCAAAAGTTTTTGGGACTTTTTCRCGCACCTCGATCTGGGATTTGCATTTCTCTTGCAGTAAATGTCAACTGTCACTGCACGTTATAGGAATTGTTTTCTCTAAGGTAAGTAAAAAGAAAAAGGCGACCCAACCCTCTTTTACTTACTTATCAAAAGAGACTGTAGAGCCATTCAAGATTGTTAAAAACTTACTATATTCAGCTGACAGTCCTTCATTGAGAATGACGGTCAAGACAACAAACACWAGAATCATTTTTCCACGTTTTAAAAACCTGCGAACAGTATATCAAAGTCCTGTAAATCAACATTGGGTTTAGTTAGGTTTTTGTTGAGTTGATAAGAATGTGACTCACTTACTATACCTTGATTTATCTTGACTCCTCTGGTTCTGATTCATAGACTGTTTTGATAGGGTCTCAGCACCGTTATTTATGGGAAAATACGGTGAATTTAGATTGGTGAGTTTCAACTACATGTCCTCCTTTGATTGGATCATTCGGATAGTAGTAATGCAATTTGCGCATGTTCAGGGTTGTCTTGGAGATCGAGAGAAARCTAAAAAATCCTCAACTATTGGACATCTTAGTTTATTTCAAAATTAATCACAAATCAGACTTTTTTTTACTTTTACCACGACTACATAGACGATAAGGAAATATTTGTCCAAAATTGAAAAAAGAAGAAAAATAATAATCAGCCCATTTGATAAAGGTTATTGGATTTGGAAACGATATTGTAATTTTTAATTTTGTAGACATTCTTATGAATTATATAATTAAGCACTATGAAAAACATACACCAATGTCTCCTTAATTCTTCACTGGTCAACTGAGGGATTGTTCTCTCTTTTAGTACAAAGTAGTTATTCAATCACTTTTACAAAATATCTGTACTTATAGTAATTATCATCGCAAGATTCGAAACCAATGAGCTAGAGTAAGTTCATTTCTCACGCAACATTCYCTAGAAAACATTAATAAGATTGTGTAAATAGAAAAACGATTAAACGATTTGAGACAATGCACGTCTAGTCTTGCCCCTTTTTRCTGCAAATTTTTTATTTGATTTTCTACTTCAATTTTCGCAAAACTCTTTTGGCCAATATCCCATCAAAAATCTTTCCATTTATCTCAGTTTTTTTATTATTTTCTTATAATCATTGAGTCAAAATCAAAATATATGTTGCTTTAAGTCCCCTTAACTATAACATGTATAAGTTTGCATATAACTTCTTTCTGAATTAATTCCACCATATTGGGATTCAGGATGCAACGCATTCTAGATTTTTTGTCGTCAGAGCAAGACTCGTACACAGCAGTTGAAGCCACTAGCTACTAGTGTTCCCGGATTCCTCTTGTTCTATCAGATGCCGTTTACACTGCCGCARATTCCACTGGACTCCAGATACCGTGTCATAGGGCGATAAGGATTTTTTAAGATTTTACATCATTTGCAGATTAATACTAAATATGGATCAGTATTTTTCCATTTTTATTGCCAAAGAGATATATATCATAAAGAACTATGGTTTAGCAGGGTATCCATTATTCTCATAGAAAATATTTAAATATGCCGAAAATAACGTGGACAAACAACACTAAACAATGGAAAAGACGACGAGCGAGACTCCTTTTAATGGGATTTCTATCAATAATCAACGCTACCAATACCATTTTGTGCGTGCGTGTCGGTACTCAATAATCCCAACCTTCATCGAGGCAGCTTATGTATGCTCAGTCGGTTTGATTTTTGAAAATAAAAACTATAAAATAAAAACTAAATGGCATTAAGTAATGTGATAATGTGATATAGTAATAAATAAACGTAAGCCTCATATTTGGGCAACTCTTGATTCAGTAAAAAATTGGACCACTACAGTCATTGTCTCACTGATAATAACGCCTTTTTGTCTTTTTCCACACACTCTTTATTGATTGTTTCGTTTTAAAGCCGTTTTTCAAAATAACAGAGAAGGTCATTGTATGTCTTGTATTCAGTGCAGGCAATATTTTACTGTTATGTACCCATAATATTTGCTTTCCCATAGTCCCTTTCGGTCTTAGCCTTGATGTTTAACAGTTTTGAAATCTATGCTTTTTCAATGAGATGTAAACGCTAGATCGAAAGTCTTGGCTTTCATTCTTTACTTATTTTTCCTTTGTGTAATGTATACAAGTCTTACGATGTGTCTTACGATAAAACGTTCTATAATAATCCGTCACCGGAAAACTTCAAAGTATCCACGCACCCCGAGAAACGGTCATGCTGGCTAGCCCGGCTAAGTGTTGCGAAGATTTCGTAATATTTTATTAGTTCTGAATCCCTCAGTTGGAACGAGCCTCAAGCTGACGCTTCAATCACCTTTTACTGGTACAAACATTTTCCTGTCTGCAGGTACGGACCGTTTTCAGGCAWATCCATTGCAAATGCCTTTTTCGAAAATTTCTGGATACGGTCACTAGACAAGACCCGTAATCGTAGCAAACAAAAATGTGTATATAAAGAATTTACATTACGCGTCATCATGGAGGATCACGGAGCATTAGATATCGTTTTAACAAGCAAAATACTCGAATAAAAAAATCATACTTTGTGCAACGTAATATGGGACATAATTAATCATATTAGTCAATATTTCGTAATTGTTCATGGGACGTCGCTTGCTATTCAGTTACAAGCGATTTCAACATGYATATTTATCAAACCGCATATTTATCAGTACGAGTAGCTAAGACCAGAACAGAGTCTCTTGCTTTAAACCAAGGGTACAGCTGCCTKCCGTTTCGGGCTTTCTGGAAGAAAAAAACCCGTAAGACCTGATTCTAAGGTTACAAAGTTACATGATGGATTGTTGCAAAGGGGTCATGACAGAGTCAAAGTTCTTATAATCCCCTTTGAAAAACCCGATTAAATTTCACTTCTTGTCTACATAAATCATGATCATGATCATAAATCTGTTGCGATCTTTAAATTTACAATTTAGGAGGTACAGACTGGACTAGATTTGCGCAAAAATCGAAAGACCTGCTATTTGAAGTTGAGTACATGTAT